TTTTTAAAAAATATTTTCAATTTCAAAAATTATTTTCTACTCTAGTAAAAATAAAAGATATTTCTCAAAAATATTTTTCATTCATAAATCAAACACTAAAAATCTTTTCCGGAAAATATTTTCTAATCACCAACAAAACATGAGAAAATAAGTCAAAAATCAACTTGTTTTCCAAGAAAACATTTTCCATGGAAAACATTTTCCTTCATACCAAACACACCCTTAGTGTTTGTTATGTTGATTGGATATATAATTGTAAAACACACAAATTCAAATGTTTTTGAGAATCAAATCACTAATGACTTTTGAAACATGTGGTGTATATTAATTAAATATCATCGCAACACTTGTATGACTATAGAAACTTCGTATTAAGTATAATCACAAGTACCTTTTGTTGCTGCATAGAGAGAAACAAAAGGAATAGCCATGATCCCAGAGATAGAAGAGATGAACACAATGCTTGCCTTTCCTGAACCTTTCAAATAAGGATATGCTAATTGACACAAGTTATATGAAGCTTCAAAGTTGGTTCCCATCATTAGTGAGCAATCTGCTGAAGTAATTTGTGCTGTCTCTTTTGGTACACATATAGCAGCATTATTTACCTACAATATAAAAACAAACTATCGTCACTCAAATTGCACTAATCGCGTAAAAATTTATTTACATTGTCAGTATATGTAACTTACGAGGATGTCAAGTTTCCCATTGAAATGTTGAGTGGCTTTGTCAATCAACTCGATTCGTTGATCTTCTAAGAACAAATCACATGTAGAACCATTTACTTTATAACCTTTGGTTTGCCATTTCTCCAAACATTCATCCAAGTCCTTTTTATTGCGAGAACATGTATAGATCGATGCACCAAAACTCGCTAATTCTTCAACTATGGCATACCTAAATCATAAGTAAAGACGAATAATTAAATAAATCAACTCCAAATTAAACTCTCAAAAAACAGAGGAAAAGTTCTCGAAATTGCTTACCCAATGCCCCTAGTACCACCAGTAACAAGGGCAGTCATGCCATGAAGAGACCATCTTCCATCTCCAATTTGTGCCATCCCTTCAATTTCTTATCAAGATTTTAAAATCGTGGATTGATGGAAATTGAGTCAATTATTCTGTAAAACAACAGAGGGCAATGCCAACATATATATAGTCTATCAATTCATTAGTTGCACTGAAGCTAGTTGACATGAAAATATCTTCGTAAAAAATGTTTGAAAATAGCATGGCCTATTAAAAAAGCATAGTCTTCGGTCTAATATGATGGCCAAAGTTGAAAGAGACTCAAAATAGATCTATCGTAATTATTAGGGGAAGGGGAGACAGCACACATGGGCAAATAAAAGCTAGGATATTATAGATTAGATAATGTATACATGTAGGGGACGGAGCTAGGAAGGACCGATAAGATTCATTCGAATTTTCTTCTGCAGAAAATTATACACATGATTAAAATTATCTTTTACGTATCCCATTTTAACCTCTTAAATATTTATATTTTATATTTCAAACCCTTTAGTGAAAATCATAACTACTTCTGATATGAGATAGCACTTCCACTAGTAAGGGTCCATAAAAGGGAAAACAGGGATCATGTTTTGTGAAAGATAATGTTATTCATAAATATAACAAAATTTTACCTAAGATCGACAACATTTCAAAACAGATTAAATTTACTACTAATATTATGAACTAAGGAAGAAAATATTAAAAAAATCTCATTTCGTGTAACGGTCAATTTAGTGTGATTATATCGTTACCTTAATATTTTCTTCTAGTAGAAGAGCATTTTCATTTTATATTGTCTATAGCATATTTAAAATTACTCAACCAAGATACAGTTGACAAAAGAGATTTCTCGAATTATTGAAATTCTAATTCAAACACTAGCATATGATCTTTCTTTTATTTTTTGGAAATTATTTGTGGCCCCATCCCTGTATGGTTTGTCATTTTATGTGTCCAGTCAACTATGGCGCTTTAATTATTTTGTCAAAATATGCCTATATATTACTATTTTAAGATTAAGATGACGTCGTTAATCTTATGGACGCCGAGGTAGACCGGTGCCTATGGTCAGCAACAAGTATTCATTCAACCCCGTGGCGGAGCACTTTCTTTTATTAAGCGGAGACGAAATCAGAATTAAGAGTTTGGAAGTTCATTGAATCGTTAATTAATTTTTGTTAAGGGTTCATAGGTTAATATACATATATATTTAATTAGTTTTCTAATACAAATACATGGTCTATAGAAAAGCTACTGGGTTCGACCAAACCCATAAAATCCCACCTAGCTCCGCCTCTGCTATTAAGAATGTCCAAAATATGTATATGATTTTACTTATATATATAATATTATTTTCCAATAAAGGGTGTCCAATTAGACACCCTGACTATAACATAGCTACGCCCCTGATTCAACTGTCAGTAGTTGTTTTCATGCACGGATGAGAGCAATGCCTATCTACTCTGGCTTCATTTTAATCATATTTTATAAATTTGCTTATTTTATTTTAATTAGTGATTTGGTCGGAATAAATGTGTATTACGAAAAAGTTATCTTATGACTTCTAATAACAAAGAGACACCTAGCATTAGAATGAAGCTGGAATATGATTTCGATAGAGGATCGAGAAAATCATCCACCAAGGATACCTTACTTGAGTATCTGAATTGTTGGTTGTCAGGTTTTATTTTACCAAGACAAGTTGGAGATTATGTTTGCTAGTGGTGTAGTTAAAAATTTCTGAAAAACATGTTGAAACTTTGGATAAGAAAAAAATTATTTTTAGTGAATGGATGTATATTACTATAAGAAATAGTCAAAAACCATCCTTCCGTTTTAACTGATATTTATGTTCAAATTTTGGATGTGCATAAGTAAATATTTAAACTTATGTATAATTGAACAAGTAAATGTACGTGTCCTACATGGCATAATACACGTAAGACGCCACATAGGACACAAAATTGTCATGTAGGACGCCACATGAATGTGTCTACTTATTCAATTTTGTACAAGATCAAGTGTCTACTTGTACACATCTGAAGTTAAAGGGTATAAATGTCAGATGAAACCAAGTTAAAGGACACGTTTATGCCCTCCAACTTTGGGTGTGTACAAGTAGACATATAAACTTGTATAAATTTGAACAAGTAGACGCATGAGTCCTACGTGATCAAAATCTGGTGAAACACTAATTGTTGCTCAAAAGTACTTTTTAAATTGATTAGCTAAATACAAACCGCTTCTCATAAAAAAAAATACTACTAACATTTTTCAAAATAAGCTTACTTTACCATCTTGACCAAGCAAGTTATAAATCTCCTTAAAGATTAATTGATATGTGTGCCTTAACCTGAGGAACTATTTACTTTTCTTGTTCATCTTCAATTGCACTTGTATGTTCACCAACAACTTATTTAATACCTTGAGTAAGCAATTCAATCATATCCCAAATAATATCACAATTACTTGAAATAATGCAGGGTAAGGGAAAGAATGTGACATTTTGACAAGAACACTTTCAAATGTTCAATCCTCATAAAAGAAATGAAGAAGACCTCATATTTCATCTAATCTAAAAAGGCAAGGTCTTAAATGACGATAGAATACTTTACACTTCATTCAATCTAAAAATAACCAAGTTATATATATACCTTATACAACACATGACACACAAATTCAAAAGAAGAAAGAACTTAGGTAATCAATTGAGGAGAAAAATAAAAATAAGGAATACAAGAAAAGCATTGAAGAAAAGAGGTTACAACTTACAACAATATATGGTGATCATCAAGCCCGTACGTGTGACGCTCTAGATTTAAAATTAACCGAAACATAGATTATAATGACAAATAAAACCACGTAGAAAAACAATTTGAGACTTGAAAATATTTTCCATTCACGTACGATCCATCTTCTTTGCATTTAAAAATCAGTCTTACAATCTTCGGATTTGATCTTGGATTTACCTTTCACCGATTCAACGTCGAAATCACACGTAACAGTCACTTCTTTTTTCAATGTTTTTGCCCAGCTCGTAATCTCCATTGGTGCATTAATAATTAAAGTCATTGGTATCGCCTTCTTGTCATCATTAAGACTTTTCTGAAAATCAGCAGGTAATTTCCCAGCATCAAGATTAAATTGAGAATTTGTTGAATCTTTAGGTTCTTGAGAAATCGCGGTATATTTCCCCTGTCCAATTTCATGATTCTTAAAATTAAGAGCCGCTATTCCATTATCGCCTTTACCAAAAGAAGCCTCCATTCTCTCATTAATGTTAACGATTTTCAAATCGATCTCAAATTGAGGGACTGGATGACTCTTATTCTTTTGTCCATTTGAAGGTTGCGTAACGTTTTTGAAATGAACATTAATAATTGAAAATTCAGGAGATTTAGGTGTATACATTGTGTGAACAATCAACATGATGATTCCAATCGCAATACCTATAAGTAATAACGCTGAAAATATCCAACAACAACATGTACATTTCCTTTTCTTTTGAGTGTCTGGTTGTCGATGATTTTCAACAATTTTGGCATTTTCAGGAGGAGGGACACGATAAACTTGATCACGAGGGATTTGAACAACGTAGGTATGATCTTGTGAACGAGCCGGTGTTAGAGAGAGGCGAAGCGATGTGGCTGATGAAAGGAGATTTCTGGCTTTGCCGCCGGCTGCAGGTGGTGACCGCTCCTCCATGCCAGAATGAGGAGCGGTGAATGTTAAGGAATTAGAGGAGACACTAACGTTGGGGAAAAATGATGGGAATTAATGAGATTATTTGGAGTTGGCCATAATTGCCATCTAATTGTTGATTGACAAAGTTTGGTTTTTATCAATTTTGGCACAACCTTTAGATACCAATTACTTGTACAAAACTTTGTATGGTGAGTTATGAATGAAAATAGTAACAGAAAACAAATCAGTAATTTTAATTTTTAATTAAACTTACACGGATTAATATATTTTTATAAATATTTATTATTAAAATAGATGCAGAACACATTTGTTCGTTAACATATTATGACAATCATTTGTTTACTATACTCTTGATTTAACCTACTAGAGCATCAAGATCATTAAATAACATTTTCATTATTATGAACATTACCGACCATAATATCACTATTACTACTTCCGAAATCAATACAAATAGACTACTTTAAATTAATTTCTCAATTGACTCTAGTCTTTAAACCCTATGTAATTTTCAAACATCTCATTCAATTTTTTAATTTTAAAGTTAAATTATAAAATCACAACACATAATAAATGCAATACGCTATAATATTCTGCTTAGAGCATTTTTAGAGTCAACACTTTCATTCCCGATCCTGTAGGCTTTTTAAATATGTTATCCCTCCTAACTCAACAATGTACAACATGTCACTAATCAAGTTTAAGAGGAATTATACCATAACTTACCTCAAAGATGAGTGGCTACCCAATCCCATGCGGCTTCGCTTCTGTTTGATGGTTCAACGACTTGGTAGAGAATCCAAAAAAAGAGACTTTGGATAGATTTGCAAGGAGTATTCATCTCCCCCCCCCCCCCCCCCCCCCCTCTTTT